GAAATATTTTCTTACCTCAGTATAAACCTATTACCAGTACCGAGGGCGAGAGGCATGCCGCATATTTCAGAAGCAAAACTTAATTTGTCCCGAAGTGCGCCATGGGTCGAATCGATTCAAGAGCTCTTGAACTCGACGAGCTTCGCTAAGCGACGGCGCGTGCCTCAATCAGATGCCATTGAGTGTCTTCATCTACGATAATTGAGATATCGGTTGCAGTAGAATAACGACAGCTACTTTGAACGTTCGGCGTCACACTGCTCGTTTAATGTGAATTTTAACGCACCAAACTCCCTGAATAGTAGCAACACCTCCATATACTTAAAGAGCATAAAAAATTAAAAGATCAAAAATGATCGCCTCGAAATATGATAATAACCCAAATTTAGGTAAAAAAAATTTTAAACTAACAATCAATACAGTTTCAATGATTCAATTTCCGAGTTTATCAATTCGTAGGCTTATTCCTATGCAAGGTGTTTGTGACTATAGTGCGTGCAACAATGTCGAGTAAGAAAGTACATTTTCATTTACGAAACACCTTGTGCGTGCAGTGTATCATACGAGACTCTTTTTTTTTGTTCGTGCTGCGAAGCCTGACAGAAAGGAGACCCACGCACAGGCGCAGGATCCGTTAAGAGCCCCTTTAGTGTTTGCTAGCAAACACCCTTCTTCTTTCTTGTATAGCTACGGTGGCGCCCCCAGCCCCTCCCCTGCCCCACACGCCTACTCTGCTGATTCTTGACTAAAGTCCCTTGCAAGCATGGAACGAGGGTCTGATTACATATTAATTATTTACCAAGTGATTTCTATATCTCGTGCGACGTCGGGACGTAAGAGTATAAGTACACAGTAGTATTGGTAGCATTCGTCCATTCCACTTCAGTCCGTCACTGCGATAAGAAACGGTGTCATTAAATTCAATGAAACGATGGATCATTATCGTAGCTATAGAAACGCCACAAGCTCGAGTGACGTCACGCCTTTCCACAGTTCAATAAATAAATGAGTAATATCGCTTGCGAAGTGGAACGTGGGTACGTACGAGTGCCAAATGTTTTTTTTGGGGCG